TTTTTAAGGACTTTGAGCGTCTATTACCCATCATTCCTTTTGACTTGTTTATTTTTGGTGGGGGAGGGATAGGCAGCACTACGATTTGAACTTTGTGGCCCCCAGGTTGCTAGGCAAGCACCCTATGGCTGAGCCACACCTCCAGCCCTACACACATTATTTTTATTAGCATCAATTAGCTATACTAGGAGGTTTCATTTTGATATTTTCTTCATAAAAAACAACCTATAGGCTAGAAAGAGAAATTATTTTTGCTACCGAGTTATAGAAATGTACTCCTTAAACAACTTCACTGATGACAAACTGAGTAAAACCGGAAAAAAAATCATGCAATTAGAATCATCCCTATGACCTTCCAACTTCAAATAAACATCACAATCATAAAAAAAAAAAAACCTGAGAAATACAGGCCAGTTTTTATATTCTCTTTCTTTTTATCCAAAAACTTCAATTTCCACCTTTTATGGAAAGGAAACAAGTAACTAGCTTCCGGTTCAATCTGTGGCCACAGCCAGGCTTTTACACCTCTGAGAATGCAGCCAGCCCCCCTGCTCCTCTCCCCAGCCCGGCTTATCTGAAACGTGTTGAAATAAGAGACTGCTTATACCATACTGATGCTTTCCCTGGAAAGTCATCTTAGCTCAACATGCAAAACTAAAGAATTCATCAAGATGCCCCCAGGTTCTTACTCCTGAAATATTTAAGCTAAACTGTTTCTAAGTTAAAGAGTACCCCGGAAGGTGAAATTTTTAATTAAAACTTTGAACAGTTTTTCTGTTCTTACCATTATATGCACTTTTTTAAAAAGGGCCTCTCACATTACTCCTCTGATGATATGAAAATATAAAATGACCAAATTGTTATCAATAAAATAAAGTTATATATTACTTTTAACGCTGTATTTTCCTTTAAAAATGGGATGCCTTCACACAACTAAGTTACGAGGAATTCTTTCCTGCCTGGATGAACCCCAGGAAAGTTAGGCCTCCAGGCCTTTAGAGGAGGGGACCTTGTCCTGGCTGTCCCCCCCTTCCCACAGCCCCCCAACTCTGATGTGCTTCGGAGATAAGGCCACAGAGAGACACTTAAGGAAAAGGCCTGTTCACATTTGAATTTCTGCATTCCTCAAGAACAATTCCTGGCAATAACCAACTTCGCAGCAGAGCTACATGAAAGCTTTGGCCAATGAATGAGGGTCATGTGCTCTTTATCACAGGGTAAACCTCATCCTGGCCAGTTTCTAACCTTTTAACCCTGTGAATTCCTAATTTACACATGAATAATGGAATTCTTGCCCAGAGTGCAACTTTCAGCCTCTGGTTCCTAAGTTTAGAAAGGAAGACTTGATTGCCTAAGGTTTAAAAAAAAAAATAGTAAAACACACAGAAGAAAGTTTACAATGTCAGGCAAGCACTAACTACACTGCGAGAATCTTAAAAAGTAAAGAGCTCTGTTTTGCTTATAAAGTCTCTGACAGGGTAAGACGGGCATATGCGGGCCCCGCTGTTATCAAGAACCAGGAGAAATAACTTAAAAACAACAAGAAGAGAATGTCCATTTCATGCCTGTTCTCTTGCTGTTTACTCCTAATCTCTCTACTCCCAGCCCAGGAAAATGTCATCTGAGCTCTCTTTATCAGACAGTGCGCCTTAGATAACAGAACTCACTTGTTCAGCTCAGTACTTTAAGAAATTTCGTTACATCTATTGAAAATCGCCACTATGCACTTCTTACTTTTAAATATGTGGTATGGACGTGGTTTTTCCTAGGATAATACCTCTCAGGATTAAATGTGTGTCTATCAGCGTGGTCTCATACTGTTATAGTCTCTGGAGCAGGGAGATAAATATTCTACACCCAGTTCACATGAGTGTTCCATGGATAATATGAAAAATGACCTCGCTGCTCATACACACTGAAATGATTTTATACCTAATTGGGTATTATTGATAATTTTATAAAGATACAAAAATCTGAAGCCAGGAGCTGCTGGCTCATGCCTGTAATCCTAAACTATCCAGAAGGGTGAAATCTGAGGATCATGGTTCAAAGCCAGCCCAGGCAGAAAAGTCCATGAGATTCTTTTTTTTTTTTTCTCTTTTTTTGGTGGTGGTCTTGGGGCTTGAACTCAGGGCCTGGGTGCTGTCCCTAAGCCTCTTTATTCTTTATGCTCAAGGCTAGTGCTCTGCCACTTGAGCCATAATACCACTTCCAGCTTTTTCTGAGTAGTTTTATTTTTTTGGGGGGGGGAGAGGGTCTGGTCGTGGGGCCTGAACTCTGGGCCTGGGGCGCTGTCCCTCAGCTCTTCAGCTCAAGGCGAGCACTCTACTACTTCAGCCACAGCGCCACTTCCGGCTTTTTTTCTTCTGCTTATGTGGTGAACCCAGGGCCTCATGCATGCAAGGCAAGTGCTCTACCACTGAGCCACCTTCCCAGCCCCACTGAGTAGTTTTTATTGGAGGTAAGATCCCAGACTTTTCTGCCTAGGCTATCTTTGAACTGCGATCCTCAGATCTCAGCCTCCTCAGTAACTAGGATTATAGACATGAGGGCACCAGGCTAGCCATGACTCTCTGACCTCCAATTGACCACCAGAAAGCCAGAAGTGGTGCTGTGGCTCTCAAAGTGGTAGAGCACTAACAATGAGAAAAAACGCTCAGGGAAAGTGCTCAGACCCAGAATTCAAACCCTGTCACCATTGACCTTCTCCTTCCCACCCCACACCACCAAAAAAAAAAACAAACCCTAAAAGTATTTAAAAGCTAGTATTTAGTTAGGTTAGCATTTACTTGGTTAGTTTTTGGATGCTATGGATTGAAGTTAGAGGCTGTGTCCACCCAGGATCTCTGCAATACAGGGGAAGCTGAGCTCTGCACTGAGCCCCAAAGATTAATCTATCTCACACCTTTCAGATTTTATTTATGAACTGACAAGCTGTATGTGTTGCCCAAGTGTTTTGGGGTGATTCTGTTGTGTGATTCTCAAGAGGTCCAGGACCCCATGGTGGGGTCTTATCCACTGATCCCCACACATCCCTCCATCTTCCCCTTCCTCCCCTCCCCCCCAAAAAAGGTTACACAGCCGGCGCTGGTGGCTCATGCCTGTAATCCTAGCTACTCAGGAGGCTGAGATCTGAGGATCTCGGTTTAAAGCCAGCCCGAGCAGGAAAGACCATGAGACTCCTATCTCCAATAAACCACCAGAAAACCGGAAGTGGTGCTGTAGCTCAAGTGGTAGAGCTGAGGGACAGCGCCCAGGCCCAGAGTTCAAGCCCCATGACTGACACAAAGAAAAAAAAAGGTTCACAAGTCACACTTCCTGGGTATGAACACATAAAAGTCCACAAATCTGCAAAGGTCAAAACCTGGATTCCTACAGAATAATTTCATGCTCAACAGAAATTACATGAACAGAACTGAAAAATAAAAAGCAAGGGGCTAGGAAGGTGGCTCAGTGGTAGAGTGTTTGCCTTGCATGCATGAGGCCCTGGGTTCGATTCCTCAGCACCACAGAAGCAGAAAAAGCCAGAAGTGGTACTGTGGCTCAAGTGATAGAGCGCTAGCCTTGAACTGAAGAGCTCAGGGACAGCGCCCAGGCCCTGAGTTCAGGCCCCATGACCTATCCCCCCAAAAAAGAATAAAAAGCAAGATAATGTACAGGAACAACAACAACAAAAAGAAGCATCACTACTTGGAGGGAGGGGAGGAAAGGAGAGAACATCACAGACTTAAACACAAAAAAAAGACCAAAAGATAAAAAAGGAGGAAAGGTTTATAAGGAACCCCAGTTAATCAAGCTAGATTTACAAACATCTCTAATTTTTTTTGACATTTCAAGATGAAAACACTGCTGCGCGCAATGTACTTTCTACAACTTATGACAGCACAAATACAATCAATTACTAACACGAGGGTGCCATAAATATGGTCATGCTCAGTAGTAAAATTCCAACCATGGGCCTGAAACCATTCCCGGAAGGTTATTTGCCTTTATCACAACCGCTCTCTCTTCCAAACCAAGGACAGTGTAAAACTCTGCTTTTTGTGCGCTGTCTGTTGCACACAACTACACTGCCTGTAAGACCATCAGAAAGCTGGTCTTTGTGGAATTTGACGGGGTACCTGTTTGATCACCTGAGGAGGTCGGAGGTCTCTAGGGAAGCAGATGCCCTCCCTGACCCAGACCCATCCCAATTCTCCAGGTATCAGGTCAACTACTAAGCAGGCCATGGATCACTTGGACAAATGGTTGCTATGATGGGGTGGTTAATACAAAGGAAATCATTAGACAGCAAACTTTATGACAACTGGGGGAGGCGGGGAGGGGCAGGAGATCTGGTTTAAGTCCATTAAGACAGAATATGGAAATGGCCTTAATCTCTTTCTCTCCCAGCAGGAAAAGGCTAGGAAGACTTCAAAGGCTTGAGAGTTACTGACCAATGCCCTCTCTTACAATTAAAAAGCAACCAGGGTGATCTAAAAGCAGCTGGAGAAAAGGAAGGTTGGAGTGGAAGATTTAGCACTCAGAAGCCATCGGAGGAGGGGCGCAGAGTGGGTTTTGCGCTGGCTTTCGTTCAGTTACAAACTCTGTCAGAACAACTCTTGTCCCCCGGGGCAAAACTTTGTTATATTGCAAAACATCCTCGTTTCATAAATTCATATTTATATAAAGCCCCCTCTCCAGGGTATATTTTGCTACAGGTTTGAAAGCTAATTTGACCTCTGTTTTCAATCAATCATTGGAACGGATGTTTTTGTGGGGGTTTTTGCTCGGCATGCCTGTTCGCGGTGACTATTATCTCCAGCAAAATTCTTAGCATCAACTATTATCTCCAATAAAGTACTTAAGTGTTACGGATGACTTTCAGGGATATGTTTTTTGGTGTAATGATACTGGGGCTTGACTTCAGGGGCCTGGGTAGGGTTATTATACTCCAAAGAAAAGCATCAAAATGTCACCTCGAAAAGTTGCCAACAACTAAGAACTCAAAAAACACTTACTTGACAGGGCCAGATGCGCTTTTTGACTAAGAATGGCTCCATATTTGTTCATGGCCAAGCACTGATAAAATCCCTCATCTGTGGGCTCTCCTCGCCGGCCTTCAGCCTCACGGATGTACAAGGAGCCGTTAGAAAGAACCTGGATCCGTTTACTTTCAGACACTTTTACTCCATTTTTCAACCACGTGACCTTAATAGGAACATCTCCGTGGGCGTGGCAATCGAGAAGGAGGGAGTCTTTTCTTGTGACAGTTATATCCTGGGGCTCTTTAATAAAAAAGAGTTCGCTAAAAGACCACACTCCTGAAAAAGGAGAGAGAAAGAATGTCATGTCCAGATTGTAGGCAAAGTTGTAAAACACACTGTTGTAAAACACATATCCAGGGGATAACACCAAACCAACCATAGCTGGCTAGCTTAGAACACCGTCATCAACCTGGCTCTTCTTCAGCCAAGCTTTTCAAAGAGTCAGTGAAATCACCACTTCCAAATATACACAACATGTAACATGTACAGCAGATTACAGCCTGCTATCTATGTATACTGTATTACAGAGAACCAATTAAAAGCACAGGGAAGATTTCAATAATGTCTACTCCTCCTAAGAATTCTGTTTTCAAGTTCTCTGCTAGCAATTCAGACAAGCTGTTCTCTACTTTTACAAGCTTGTCAAAAAGATCTTGAACAGGGTAAGTCGTAAACCTCTAATTTTACAAGAAATCATTAGCAAAAGTCCGACTCTGTGAACAAGCAAGTTTATTTCCTAGTCCCTTGAAGTGTTTTGGGGACCTCCTACACCTCCTTCTTTGGAAAATACCCGTTTGTCTTTTGTGGCAAGTTACAAGTTTGCATTTTTCTATCTTCCCTCTTCACCCGCCCCCTCCACTACCACCACTTTTTTTCCCCCTCAGCTGGGATTCTGTCTCCTGTCCTTGAAAGAAATCCATTTACTTAATTTCTACAGAGCCAGCTAGGTATTTAAAGGACAAACAATAGACTCTGAAAAGTTGGTCACTCTCGCTGCTTGTACTCAGTGGGTGACTGGAGTAGGAAAACTTTTATTTCACTTTTTTTTTTTTTAAAGAATCACCAACTGTTGGGGGGGAAAAATGCGTGACGAATGGATCCTTACTGTCTAATAGGGATAGGAGATTGCTTAATCAACCAATACACGTTTTTATCAGAGCAGAGGAAATGCGTGATACTAAGCACAATGTCACAGGCCCCTGCCAGGAGGAAAAAAAAAAAAAAAAAGCATCACCCATGACTCAACTTGTGCATTTGGAGCAAAAGCCATCTTTAAGTCTTTGATTCTGAGAGGCAGGGGTTGTGCTGGGGGAGGGAAAGAGGCTCATCTTCCTCCAGGATCCTTGGAAATTCCTGAAGACAAATCCCCAGGAAAGATTTCTCAAGGTTCGGATCAAGTCTTCCACTACATGTAGGGGGGGGGACACCGGGGGGGGGGGTGACAAGAACCACCCAAACAGCCCAGCTCCAGGCAGGCCACTCTCCAAGACACCCCCATTGTGTGCGTCCACCCCAGCAGACTTTGATCCTTTTCTCTTGCTAACTGGAAGTCACTCCTCCAGAAGGGGGGTTGGGGGAGAAGGAGGGAGGGAGGGGAGGCAACTTGTAAATAAATAAAATAACCCATTTCCCCCCTTAACACCCCTTTTCCCACCCTCCCTACCACCTCTCACAGCAGGAAAGAAATATGAAGCCCCGAGTGGAGAGGGGTGGTGGTGATGCTGGGTAGGTTCAGGCTGGTCCTTCTAGCTCCAGGGTCAAGAGTTCGAAGCCCCGGGGGGAGCAGGAAAAGTCCTGTGAGATTCTAATCTCCAATGAACCAACCCCTCCCCCCCACCACCAAAAAAACAAAAAGTCACCAATGGAGCTGTGGTTCACACGGTGGAGCGCTAAGGCTTCAGAAAAAAGGAGGAAAAAAAATCATCCTCACAGAGGCAGCTCTCAGGCCCTGAGTTCGAGCCCCGGGACCGACAAATACACACACACGCGCACACACACTTGCTCACACACATGCACACGCACACACTTGCTCACACACGAACGCACACTTGCACGCACACACACTTGCGCGTGCAAACGCACCCCCACGCACGCACCCCCACCTCCAACCCCGCCCGCAAACAAGACCATGTCATCCAAGTTGGTGCTGAGCTTAACTTGAGAGATTTCGGGTACCCTCGGGCCGTGTGCGCCCCCCCACGATTCAGGAGCGCCCTCCTCCTCCTCCTCCTCCTCCTCGGGGGGGGGGAACCCACGGGGCCGCGCAGCCGACAAGCTCCCCCCCACACCCCTGATTCCTCCAGAGGCCGGTGCTGCGTGCACAGTCCCCGCTTCTCCCCCAGCCCCGGAGCAGCGCGGGGACCGAGCCCGCCCCGCGCGCACGGCACCGACACAATATAAATAAAGCCACGTGCGGGCGCGGGGCGGGCCGGCCGCGGG